GTTGTATATTGTGATTCTTGATGAAGTAGACAGTGTAGTAATTAAAAGCCTAATCATTGTAGAAAACTCAACATTGAACTAAATAGTGTTTTGTACGTATTGAGATGAGAACATTGGCTTTGTTAAAGGTGAAAACCATTGCGTATATTGCTTTGTAATTCTTGTTATATATTGTGATTGTTAAAATAGATAGTATAATAATTGAAAGTCCAAACATTATAGGAAATTCAGTATTGAACTATTGAAATGCAATGCGTGAAAGGTGAATATTGTGATTGTTTATAAAGTAGATAGTGTAGTAATTGAAAGCCTAGTCATTGTAAGAAATTCAGTATTGAACTACTAGCTAGTGTTTTATGTGTATAGAGATGAGACCACATTTGTGATAGGTGTAAAATATTATGTATTTTGCATTGTGATTATGGTTATGTATTGTGATTATTGATGAAGTATATAATATAGTAATCAAAAGTCTAGTCATTGTAGGAAATTTAGTGTTGAACTAGATAATATTTTATACGTATTGCGTATATTGTTTTGTGATTTTACTTGTGTATTGTGATTGCTGATGAAATAGATAAGGCAATAATTGAAAGCCTAAACGTTGTAAGAAATTCAATATTGAACTAGATAGTGCTTTGTGCATATAGTAAAAGGTGAAAAGTATTGCATAGTATTTTGTGTGTATTGAAATCCAATGACTTTGTCAAAGGTGAAAACTCTTGCTCAAATTTTCATGTTGTGAATTGTTTGAAGTTATCTTATTTTATTGAACTATATAGGTAAAATGGAATGATAATTATTTTAAACTTTTGTAAGAAAACTATGATGCTACATTATCTCAAAAATATAGTGAAACTCTTCCAATCATTCAGATTTCAATCCACAAGCATGGATTAAAGCTAGCACACTCATGTATATGGCTTTGAATCAGCAAATAGATTTAAGGGCCTACTTTACTCAAGTCAGTCCACAACTGTAGCAATAATGTCTCACTTTGTTTATGGTCCATCATTTATACCTACTCAGCCTCAGATATAAGAACAAATTGATGAGTTTAGGATTGAGCTGAAGGTTGAATTTAGGTGTTTTATGGATCAGATGATGCAATTGATAAGGTTTAGACAAATTTTGTCAACATAATTTTTTAGATCTAAAGACTGCGACATAGATTCTAGATCAGGAGATACAGTAGCACAATGACATTGTTTTTGAGGACTTTGTATGATGAATTTTATAGATGTTATGGATATTTTTCAGTACTATATTTTGTGGATATTAAAGATGTTATGAAAGACATGCGATCTCGATTTTTTATTAACCTTATGAAACATGTGGAAACATATAACAAGTTCTGCCGCTATAGAAGGGGAAAAAAAGGCGATGAATTTGTTAAAAGCCTCTAATGATATAAAGCCGATTTAAATAATGGATCAACTGTGATTTAGTTGCTGAATTATATTACTTTTTATAATTTAATACTTATAAAAACTCATGATTAGATATTCGAATTTTGTTTTTTCTCAATATTTTACTCACACATTAATTCTATTAATGATAAGTTGATGTGATAAAAAATAATGAATAATATTATAACACGTGACATATTTCTATTAATAAATATTTATTTCATTAACATTTTGACTAACAATATTAATTACTAATGCAAAATGCTGGTTGGAAATAAAGTTTGGCCATCTAATGATGAATTTTGTGTTGTTGCCAGCAGTCCTGAAATGGATGATTCCCTCCACAACAACCAGATCCAGCATTTGCTATGTTACCTTCATTAACATGATCAAGCAAACAATAAACAAGCTTAAAGTAATTAAGAAAGGACAATGAGGTTTTGTAAGACCCTAATCTCAAAAATATTGAGAAGATTTTATAAAAATTTAAATACATATTTATGAGATATTTTTTATGATATAAAATTTTGAGATGTTCAAATTAAATAGACAATATCTCGCGGTCTCGTGCCAAATATTCTTCTTATAACATCCAGAAATCATTTTCAACTGACAAAACAGAACTCTAACATTTGAAAGCCCAGAAAATCAGGTCCACCTGAGGGTGCTTGGCTCAGGCTTGAAGGACCCTGTTGCAAATAAATGCATTCTCCTCATTAGGAATCACTGTGATGAGACCAATTAAATGCCTTCTAACGTTCGATTCTTTGATTGTGTTCAAAGAATTTTTTTTTTCCTATTATTCGGTATAGCTGAAATACAAACTTGTACTGAGAAGATCAAAACCAGAAGTAAACACGGTTTAACATGTTTTTACAGCCATGGTTAATCTAAGCTCAAAGGTCCAGATATAAGTTCAGTCAGTCAAGCACTAACAGTGTCATCAGATTATGTTTGGTGCATAAGATAATGAATGAGATAAAATGATTATCATCCAATCTCATATTTAATTTATATTTAAAGAAAGAGATTAAATTACAAAAAAAATTAATCATTTTTTTAGTATAAAATAATTTAATTTTCTCAAAATGAAAGAATATTTTTAATTTATAGATTAAACTTCATATCTTATCATATTCTTAAAAATTATAATAATAAATTTAAATTATATATATTTAAAAAAAATAATTTCAATCGATAAATAAAATTATTTTATCATAATCTTTATATATCTAACATAAAATAAGAACGGAGTATAGTCAGGATGAAAAGGGTGTCCAAATAGTAAATAATAATATTTTTCATGTTTTCTAAAATAAAATTAGAATAGGCTAGAAAAAAAATATTATTTGAATTGTACTTTTTCGTTCTTTCATCACATTAAAATCATCAAATTTAATTAAAATAATTTAATAGATCAATGTAAACAAATATAAAATATATATATTGAATTAAAATAATATAACAAATTAATAAAAACAAATAAAAAAATAAGTGTAAATTAAATTAAAATAATCTAACAAATTAACGTAAATTAATAAAAAAGAACGAAGAGCGTATTAGTTTAAAATAAAATTTCATATAATTACAAAATAATATGATCTAAAGATTTAAGAAAAACCAAATTTATTATCACTGTCTACCTATATTCTCAAGAGAGTTCTTCAACTATTCAACATCAATCAGGATGAAGAAACTTATTTTACTAAAACAAAAAAAATGGGGATGAATAAACCTATTTTACCAAAGTAAAGAGATGCCATCGACAAGATATGTTAAGCTACACTTATTTATTGAGTTTGTACAGGAAGGAAAGTTAATATGCTCAAATATTGACTAAAGGGACCAATGTTTTATTGAGAGGGTTCAGTTTTAAAAATATATTATAATCCAAAGTTTTGAGAGCTCCTAGGCCCCTGTCTGTCCTTTTTAGTTTCGTCTCTAGATAGATTTTGTTTTAATTTATTTTATTTATAATATTAATTTATTTTATAATATTATAATCATGTGCAAACATATGATCAATGTATTATATATAATGCTGACTACATCTTAAATTTGAAAATTATTGCTACACTGTCGAAGCCATAATCTTCTTATTTGGGTAAAAAAAAAATTCTTTTGAATTGAAGACCTGGACCAATTGAAGCTGGGACCTCCGGTTAGAATTTTCAGTATTTGAGCATCTAAAATATTCGGTCAAAGAAATAACTCACTTGGCAGTTTCATTATTAAAATAAACCAGAAGGCATATGCAAATAAAATAGAAAAATTTCCAAGGATAAATTTCCTATTTGATTACATGTTGAAATTAGATTAAGTCATGTTGAATCATCCAATTTCAAGTCAATTAAAACATAAAAGTCCTCTAATGTAAAATCAATTGGCAATTAACAGAATATCTTAACTTGGATATTAAATCAGATTCAAAAATTAAAGATATTTGAATCTTGTAAAAAGAAAAAAAAAAATCTATTAGTGATTCAACAAATGCTAAATTAAAAGCAGCTAAGATGGTCACAATATCAGAGAATGGATGCAAAAGATGGTCATAAGGACTGGTTCTCCTACTTTTGAAAGAACCCTCATCCTAGCCTGGGACATATGGGGTAGAAATGAGGCAGTCATGAACGATGTGCATAGGACGTGTCAAGATACAGTTCCTAACTGAAAGAATATCAGCGTGCATAAGTACAAAATGGTGAGCTGGCGACAAAAAAGCAAAGGCATTTGGTAAGCACCAAAGGGGAATACCATCAAGATCAATATCAATGGTGCATTGGATAATGGGAACGGGAAAGGAGGGATGGGAGCAGTAGCCAGGAATAGCATGGGGGAATTGGTGGGGGCCATCTGTGAACCTGTTGCAGAGACTCTACAGCAGTAGAAGCTCTGGCAGTGAGATCCGATGCTGAGATGGGTTTCCAGAGACTGTAGATCGAGGGGAACGCACAAGTGATTGTTAAGCAAATCCTACAGAAGGAAAAAAGCACATCTGCAGTGGGGCATACCATAGAAGACGTGAAGCTTCTAGTGAGGAACTATTCTGAGTGGACTTGCTGCTTTGATAGACGTGAAATGACAAGTGTTGCTCATCGTCTGGCAAAATTAGCTAGCTATATGAGTTGGTGGAACTTCTAAATGGGTGGATAATTATCCTACTAAATGTACTTGCTGAGAATGACAGGCTTGCACAACAGTAATGAAAGTTTATTCCCACTTTCAAAAAAAATAAAAAAGCAGCTAAGACTTTTTATGGATGGTGACATAATTGTAGTCGTAAGACCGTAAGGATAAGGAAAGAATAAGACAGCCTATCTGCGAGTGATGTGTAAGAAATTTGTTCAACTCAGTGTCCCTCCTGAGAAAAAAAAAAAGTGCACTTGAAAATACTTCTAAATCTCATGCCATTATATGACTTAGATGGGTTGGGTTAATAAACAATCAAATTAAAGCTTGATCAGGGTAAAAAATAAATAAATAAATAAATCCGGTAATTTTACACAATACAATTCGATAATAAACACGAAAATTATATGAATAAAACTCGGCACTTTTTTAGAGTTCTCATTCTCAAAATGGCAATCAATATTTCACAGCCACAAGGAATTTCTTGAAAAGAAATTTTAATTAATGGCTGGTAACAGCTACTTTCAATACAATAATAACATGTAATTGGCAGCAAAACCCCTTCCCTTTTTTTTTTGGGCTCATAAAACCTTATTTTGGATTGTAGATTCATTGCATGCAAAAACCCTCGTTACATACCCAATTCTACAAAAGAGTGGATGAAAGCTTTAATATGAACCAATAGCAGCCTGAACCAGGAGACAGCTGAATCTGAAAACTCTTGAGCCGCTTTCATGAAATAAATAATTGCTTCCTATTGTGGATTGTTTAACAGTTTCCAAGTTACTCTACAATATCAAAATGTCCAAAGAATGTGGTGCTTCATGACAATGAATAAAATCACTTCACCGGTTTTGAAGGCCCTCGATCGCTTTTTTCCACTGCCATGCTCTTTGTTTTGCATCATCAAATGACAACACCTTTTTTGGCTGAAGCACCACACATGTGGATCAGAAAATGAAACAGCCAAAGAAGAACAAGTGGAAAGCATGCACCCCCAAAGTGTTAAGTTCCTTTTTTCTTCATTACCAGCGTTCTCTAAAATTTAAAATTAATTAGGGTAAAATAAACCATTGGTTACTCAACTCTGGTCATGTGTTTTTTAAAACGATCACTTAACTATTAAATTTTTCAATTTTTTTTTCACCCAGCCGTTAGTTTCTAATAACGTGCTGATATGATAATACCACATCAGTTGCCACATGTCACATGACATTTGCTACATCATCTGATATGCCACATGGAACTGCTAACATGACATTATAAATTTTGGAAAAAATGAATTTTGCAAACATGATAATGCCACATGACATATGACAACTGAAGTATCATTGCTACGTCAGCATGCTATTAAACATTAACGGTTGGATGACCAAAAAAATACTTGCTCAACCTTTAATGACTAAATTGAAATTTTTAATAGTTTAGTGACCATTTTAAAAACACGACAATAGTTGAATGACAAATGGTGTAATTTACCCAATTATTTAATATAAAGTGGCTGTGATAAACCATAGAACATTATACCAGTCAGGGAATATAAAGCACCAGGGTGCATGCAGTTCCAGATTTCCAGTATCATTTCATTAATAAATTTGAGGAATACATTTCTATCCTATCAGTATATGCTCAGAGACTTACAGTGCAAATCTTGAAGTGTGATGGACTTGTGACCTGGATGCTGAGGTCATTAGAATTGTCAGACCAAATAATGTTCCCTTTCACGACCAATTTTGAAGGATCAACATAAATCAGTTTTGGCTTGTTGGTGAGGATAAGCTGCACCTTCTTGCTCGATAACTTTTGTAGTTTCTTCACCATTGAGATCATAAGAACAGATTCTCCAGGTTCCAAAAATTGTTGCCTGTTTGCATGATGGACATTTTAGAGAAGATGTGTAGCAAAAAGTCAGCCCCAGTCCAGAAGAGAGAAGAAACAATAAAAGTTAAGACTCGAATTACAAACTACAAAATTAGCATGAAATGCAACTATCTCCTCGCAATTGATTCACAAGGGAGTCAATAATGTTTCATCTACACTAGTTTCCAAAAGTAGCAAAAATGGACAAATCAATGATGTTACTAAACGTTAATAGGTTCGACAAGTATCCAAATGGACAAGCTTGCAAGCCAAAGTCATGTCCTTTCAACAAAATCAAAGAACACGTGCTGAGAAAATAACAAGATATATTAAAAAATACCATTTTGAGTCAAAGGAGTCAATTGAGGCAACTCTATTTATACGGCCAGATGGTTCAGCAGATGATGAGGCACCAACATTTCCATCATTCTGTCTGGCTGAACCATCTCCAATGTGGGTAGGATTCCATGAAGAATCATTATGATCATCACCCTCACTTGATTGAGCCTGAAAATAATAGATAATAATAATAATAATAATATTTTAAAACTCCCAAGAGACAAGAAGCAGAGAGAAGCTGGATTCCATCATAAGTAATGATTGAAAGCATGTCTGCCATCATACCCCCGTCTCTAATGCAAGCTTCGGAGGGGTTTGTGCTCTTAAATTACTCCAGTCAACTCCCCTAAAGAAAGGATGCATCTTGAGCGCAGAATAACCATTAGGTCCAGCACCTGGTCGTCTACTGGGATCTAGATCCTGCACCACAATTGCATTACAATTTTAAGGCTAAAACTTTTTTCTCATATATTAAGATCACACTACATAGGATAATCAAAAACCTAAAAGGGCAAAAGTAATAATGTTGGATGTGCATAACTTTGAACCTGTCCAAAAGAGAAATCACAACAACAACAACAACAAACTAAGCATTATATCCCATAACTCTGGAGTCGGCTGTATGAAAGGCCAAAAAAGGAATCATGTTAGGTCGTAGTTTTAAATCTTTTTACGCCACTCATTTCTATCAAAAACAATCTTTTCATCTACTTCCTTAACCCTTACATCATTTCTTGTTATTTGCATCCCCATCTTTCATGGCCTACCCCTAGAAATTTGGTGTTTCATAAATCTAGAAACTCATTTCTCCTAACTGGTGCATAGATAGGCTTAGGTTTCACATGTCCAAACCATCTCAATCGGCCCTCTCTCATCTTTTCCTCAATTCAGACTACTCCTAATTTTTCTTAGATCTCTTTATTGGTCTACCTCTAGAAGTTTTGGTCTCTCATAAATCTAGAAGCTCATTTCCCCTAACTAGTGCATAGACAAGCCTAGGTTTCACATGTCCAAACCATCTCAATCAGCCCTCTCTCATCTTTTCCTCAATTCGGAATACCTCTAATTTTTCTCAAATCCTTTTAGTTCTGATTTTGTTTCTTTTAGTCTTACCACACATTAAGCATCCTCATCTTAGCCACACTCATTTTCTTCTCATTTTGTTTCTTAACGGCCCAATACTCAGCTCCATATAACAACACTGGCCTTAGAGTTGTTTTATACAACTTTAACTTTAAATGCATGTTACGATCACACAACACACCCGATGCACTTCTCCACCTCACTCATCTTACTTGAATCCTATGATTTGCATCCTTTTCTATCTCAGCATCACTCTGAATAATTGATCTCAAATATCGAAAATGACTACTCTTCAGTACTATCTCACCATCCAACTTAATCACACTAACACTTGCTTCCTTATGACTACTAAACTTACATTCAATATATTCAGTTTTAGATCTATTCAATTAAAGTCTCCAGACTCTAGTGTATGCCTGCATAATTCTAATTTCGTATTAAGATCATCACTAGTTTCAGCAACTAAGACTATATTATTGGCAAAAAACATACGCCATGGCATCTTGTCTTGGATACATCCAGTGAGCTCATCCATAACTAATGCAAAAAGAAATAGACTTAGTGTTAAGCTTTGATGCAATCTTGAGGTAATGGGAAAGCTATCAATCATGCTCCCAAACATCGTCACATTTGTTACAACTCCTTCATACATATCTTTAACTAAGTTAATATACTTTAAACGAACTCCTTTCTTCATTAAGACCCACCAAAGCACCTCTCAAGGAACTCAGAAGAAATAATTTGCGGTTCACTTCAAGATTACAGCCTATGAATTTCAATCAAGATGGCTCATTTTAAAGAGGGAGGGAGGTGTGGAATGGATATAGGGGAGAAAGAGAAAAAGAGGAAGTAACTAAACAGATAAGGACAAAGGGATAAGAGAAGAGAGGGGTCAATATTCAAACTAGCCTTAGGAAAAAAGACAGAAATGAAACAGTTAATGAATAATTTCTTCATCAGGATTTACCATTTCTGCTGCCACCTTAATATTACATTCCTTAAATTTATTATATTATACTTCAAAAAATGAATAAATAAAGAACCTTCAATTCTAGAAGCAACTCTAGCAGGTAACTTTCACATGAACTGCCCATAGAAAATACTACATAGCACAAACAAAGTCTCCAATTATAAGATCCCTTAAAATAAATAAAACAATTATAAGATTTCATGTAAAAGTTTTATAAACTAAAACATAATTAATTCTTACTCATTAGGAAAATGGAAAGAATACTATGTAATCTATTGCAATATTAGTAAAATTAAGAAAAAGAAAAAAGAATACATCATTTTTAGCTATGCTTACGATTATATTCTTTTTGCATATTTCCTAATAAGCAAGATATTACTCCAAAAATGTGGGGAAAACCATAGTATGCAGGAAATACATAAGACAGCACATGGGAGATAAGGAAAAAAAAGAACAAAGCCTTAGAGATAATACAACCAATGTCTAAATAAGAAATAAGAAAAGCCCACATTATTTGCAAAGAGGTCAAAAGCACCATGAGATTAGCTTCATTGCAAATCAATTAGCTACATTCCTGCAAATAATATGCCCAAACACAGACATTAAATGTTTCATTACTCCAGATACTAGTGTTTCAATTTTTAGACAAGAAGATCCACCAAGTAGTGCAGTCAAATGACGAGATTATTTAATCACTTAAATAATTCAGAAACCCCCAACAAGGTCAGCTAGAAATTATATTTGCTCTGAGATTGCAGAGAAAGTTAGGCTTAGGATAAACAAAAGATAGGCAGCAAACTGATGCCAAGAGATATTTTTCTCTAACCACTGTTTTATACTATGGTGGTTTCCTTTGGTTTTTTTTTTTTTTCTTTTTCACCCACTTACTAGGAAGAAATCAGTTGCCATGAAACTTTATCTTCCCATGTTATCAGAATGTAAAACTACAAAAGCAGCATAATTATACAAGGTGGAATTACTTAACCAATTGTGTCTCAACAGTTAGAACTGATTGCTAAAGTTGTGTGCATCATAATTTGCTTTCCCCTAACATGTAACTCTACAAATGACAATCATTTCGTTGGAACTCCACTTCTTCTTAGCATAATAAGTATCAAAAGCAATACGAAGGGCAATTATCTCATAACACCATAAGTTGATTTTCCATCCCCAATTGGTGCAGAGTTTCAACTTCTGAAAATTTGGCTCAAAACAGACAAATCAGATTGACCAAATGTATGTTAGTTACTGAGCTGCTTTATTCTGTCATTTTTCCATCACAAATGTACAGAAACAAAAATTATACGCACCAGATAACGGAAATTGGTAACAAGATCAACTTCAAAAAGTCTTAAGCATCAAAGTTTATGGATGAATAGCAGAAACCAAATCCAACATGCAGAAAGTTGTAAATTACCAATAACCGGTCGATAAGGTTTTTGGCTTCTTCAGAAAAATAATTTGGAAATCTTATATCTCTGGCTATAATTCTTTGAAATATAAGCCATTCACTTGCATCTTTGAAAGGAGAAGTGCCTGAAAGCATTTGGTACAGTGTGCAGCCAAGTGCCCAGAGGTCATTTCTGTTTGAATATGTTCAAAAGAATAAATTAGTTAACCTACAAACAATAGATGAACAAGATCAAGGAAAACAACTCGGCTAAATCACAAGTTTTTACACTTGCATTATCAGGGAAACTAAGTGGTAGGAAAAAAAGGGAGGCGAAAGAGGGGGCAAGGGAGAAGAGAAAGATTAAAGAAAAAAAATTCTATGATTAGTTGTAGCAAGCTTAAGATTCAGTTTCAAGTTTGACAATTTTAATCTATATTGAGAGACAAACTCATTAAGAGATTGAAGGTCACTTACCCAAAAGTTGCTGGAGAAGAGTTTAGGACTTCAGGAGGAACATATGCAGCTGTCCCCACAAATGTGCATGCCTTATCATCTGGAAAGGATACCAGAGACAATCTTAGCCTTAAAACTTTTCTTTTTGGAAGGGGCAAGGGGGTTCGACATGATAAAATCATGATTTTACCTGAGGATGCATTAGGCAGGACTGTAATTCGGCTGTCCTGCATGGGCTTTACACTGCCAAAGTCGGCAATCTTAATATGCCCATCTGTAGTAAGAAGCAAGTTCTCTGGCTGCCATGTAACAAACATTAGCATTTTTCAAATGTTAATGTAACAGAACATGCATGAACTGATAACAACAGATATGACACTGCAGCAGAACATGTACGCTTTTAAAATACCTTAATATCTCTATGTATCAATCCCATGTTGTGTATGTATTCAAGAGCATCTACAACTTCTGCAGCATAGAAGCGAGCCTCATCCTCTGATAAGCGACCTTTCTGCACAAAATGTAACCAGATGGTTGATACTGAAACATGAATAAACCACCAGAGATAGAACCAAGTGCTAAATCACAAAAATAAAGAATGAGCTCAAGAATACTCAGTCTCAAACAACTCAATCATATGCTACAAGAAAAAAGTAGCCACAAGGCAACCCTTTTTTATTTGTGAAATTTCCATAACTAGATAGGATCACATGCTAAGAGTAACTTACTCTTGTTATTTGGTCAAAAAGTTCTCCACCTTCACAGGATTCAAGTGCCATGTCTTCACAATATAATCAAAGAAAACAATGTCAAACAAAAAACCAAACTGAAAGAATTGGCAAGACTTAACTAACGGACAAGCATCAAGGGAGAAAAGTTGTTGTAAAAGCTAACTAAACGAGTATGCACATAACACTAATCAAAGATACAACCAAGAATACCTACAAAGTGAAAAAGTATCTTGAAATGTAAAATAGAGGCGCACAACACCAGGATGGTCCAGTTGATCAAGCACGATACGTTCCAACTTTACATAAGCTGTTTTATTTTCTTTGGTGATGAACTTTTTATCCATGATCTTCAAAGCATACACCATTCCTGTATCCTTCTTCTTTGCCCTCACAACCTGATGACAACATTAATATGATACTCAGAACAATGCCAATGTGAATAAGTAGCTCATGAGAAAAATGGTGAGCAAACATGAAAAGTGAACATATACTAAGTAAATGATTCAATAAATATTTACCATAAGATTTCAAAAAAGATCACTACAACCATAATAATAATAATAATAGGCCCCATGTTTTTATATTAATCAATCATCTTAAACTGTTAACTAAAAGAAGGATGTTTATTTATCTATATTGCCAATGTATAGATATATTCCTAATTAACGTATCACACAGCCATCACCACTGTAATATTTTGTTTGCTTAGAAAAACAATTTCACGTAACAACTATAATGGAGTAGCATGAAACATAAATAAATATATTTGTCCAGTTTGAACCATCCCTTCTCACTCTTAACCATACTGGCAGTCTCAGTGCTCTTATCTGGTATTTTTGTAACTTTAAGCCAAGTCATATGCACACATCTGAGAAACTCCCATCATTCATACCTTTAACCAACCAAAGTACGTTTACAACATGAGTGAAGTGCTCAAATAATGGAAACAAGTAGTTTAATTTAGCCTCAATTTTCAAAACTCAGAACAGAAGTTTCTAACAAGTGTAACAATAAAAAAATGTTTGTTAATAAGTGATCAATTTTCTGGGATGGTGGAAAAACAGAATTGCAAAAAAGGCAAAAGAGATGAACAGCAAAAAAATGAACCAATAGATATTTGGTATCAGTTCATTAATTTCAATATCAATGAAAGGTACAAACAAAAAGAGAGCAACCTATAAGGACTTGATCCAGCAGTAAAAGGAAGAGCAGCCTAGACGGCTTAGATTCAAAACTTCAAATGTCCAACTGCACTTATGTGCAAGTTGAATCATTAATGTTTTGCTTGGAAAGAAAATAAAGTCTATAACCCAAGCATAGCCCAAAAATCACACGTCTTCAAAGAGAAATAGTAATTTATCTTCTAGGAAACAGAAACAGAAACAGAAAGAGAATCAAATATTGTTATTAAACAAAATTTTATGTTCTTTCTTTTGCAACAAATTTCTAGGAAAATTTATTTCCCGTCATCGAAACATCTTATACCACCATTGAAAACCCATATAATTCACAAAGATAGCTAAAATTTATCCCAAAAACACACCATTTGTCACAAAGAATCATTGCCCATCAAATTCATAAAGCAGGAATATGCACATATAAAGAATGAAACATCAAAAACAAAGCAAACCCAGAAATCCCATATGCCAAAAATCTAGAAAATCAAAAAAAGAACTTAAATTAAAATGGAAAGAAAAGAAACTAACCTTTGAGTAAGAACCAACTCCATAGATCTTGCCCAATTCAAAATCCTGGATAGAAAAATTCTCCTGTGGAGCTCTAAATGCAAAGCTTTTAGATCTCTGAACATTGTCGGAAGCACCAACATTTGAAGAATTATTATTAGAATTATTATTATTGGTTCCCTGAATCCTAAGCTTTGAATCAAAATCCTTATCCATTGTCAACATTTCTCTCTCCGAAATTCCTCACTTTCCCTTTTACATAATAATTATAATCACAATAATGATAAAAGTAAAATCTTGGTAGAAGAACAGTTTTTTGTTTCTATTTTTGGTTCCAGTCAAAGAGGGAAAAACAAAAGAATTTTTTTTTTATTGGGTTGGATTGGATTTCCATTTATATTCCACAGAAAAGGAGGAAAAAGTGAACTGATTCTTTTTCTGTGCATAAAATAAAAAAATAAATTTTTATTTAATTTTGTGAAAGTGTAAATTTTATAAAAAAAAATTTATAAAAAAATGAAAATGGGAGAAATTAGAGGTGGGGAGTGATCAGCTTTTTTAGGGAATATCAAAACCCTAAAAATGTAAAAGAATTGGGAATTTAGGAGTGATTCAAGAGCGGAATTAGGAATTTTTTGATGGAGGAGAAGAGAGGCATGGGGATCGAAGAGGTTGAGCTTTTGCACTTGGGATTCAATCATTCACGTCATTCTCCTCCTCTGTTTCTCTCTCTCTCTTGCATTTTTTTATTTATTAAAAAATTTAAATTTTTAATTTTTTAATAAATCTTTATATTTTTATTATATATAATTAAATTTTTATCTTTTTATTATATTAAAATAATATTTTATTTTAAACAATAATTATTTTGTTAAATTTATTTAAGTAGAAATTAAAAATTAAAATTTTTTTTAAATGTAATAAAAAGTATAAAATTTTATCTAATGATAAAGTTTTCATTTTTGTTTTATTTTAATCTTATTTATTTTGCCTATATTTTGATGATATGTTTGGCAAGTGTCATGTCGAATATATTTGAGGATTTATTTAATTTTAAGGGGAATTTGTAATTTTTTTTTTTTTGCAACTTAATTAAAGAAGTTTTAAAGCTAACATTTTAATTATAAAGATTTAAATTTTATGAAATTATTATTTATTTTTAAATTTTTAGATTTAATAGTTAAACTTATAAAATAATAAGAATAAAAAAAATAAGTACACATAAAATATGAAAATATTCAAAGTTATAAAAGAAGTATTTCTTAATTACTATTATTACCAACTAAATTTTCTTATAGTACTATTGATTCGAATGTGTTAAATTTTGATTTTATAAAAAAAGAAAATGCGATTTATCAGGTTTATTAAAAACTTAATAAAAGAATATACATATAATAATTTTTTACAAAATTTTACATCAACGGCTGAATGTTCAAATGACAAAAAAAGAAGTGTATTTTTATTTTTTTATTCAAAGTTGTTTGAAAATTTTGAAAAAATAATTTTTTATAAATTTATTAAATTTAATATAAATAAATTTATTTGAATCGATTCAAAAAATAAATATATAAATAAAATTCAAAGATATTTTGTTGTTAAGTAAAAAACAATAATAAAGTTTTATAAAATTTAAAATTTTCTCACATATTGAGAGAAAACGAATTTCTTTAAAATGTTTCAAATTTATTTTTTATTAAAATTTTGATTAATAGACAAAAAGTGAAAGGTAGATTTGAGAAATTAAGTTAATTTATTTTGTTTATTTTTATAAGAAACAAATAAATTGAAAATAAAAAAAAAAAATCAATCAAATAGTATAGCCTTTTTGATAGTGACTTGAAGTGGACATGGACCCAAACTCCAAAGTTTTAAGATAAGGATAGAATGATAGATTGAGATAAAAATAATATAAAAAAAAAAAAACAAATTAAAAAACAGGTAAACGAGAAAGAAACAGACGTCCATATCATTCCCTATGGCCGGCAGAGGGATAAATTATTTCCTAGTAATTCACGCATGGATATATATAAAATCTAAAGATGCATGCACTTGAAAATAAATCTGTTTATTTAAATATTATAAGATAATATGACAAAAAATATAAAAATAATATAATTTAAAATTTTAATAAAAATTTCATAAATTTTAACAAAAATAAAATATATATCATGATATATAATTTTTATGTAACCTATTGTTGTCGACTCTCTATCCCCAATCAAACAAAATGGCATAATTTTCATTGTCAGCTTTTATTCTTCTCTTTCCTTGTTAAATAGAACAATCAAGTTTCCAAGCCAAGAATTCAATTTGTATTTTAAAAGGAAAGGTTTCATTTTCCACACAAATGGTAGGCAAAAACCAAATAAGTAGATTCATTCAGTTTTATTACAGAACATTAGAATATTAGATTGAAGATCATCAACTCCAAGTAACATTCCATGATCTCATCTCTTATTGTTTCTTGTTCCATTTCTTGAAAGAGAAAACAAGACAATAGATGTTAGGAGATGGAAGGAAGAAAGAACCTATATTTGAAACTTTCAAAACCCTTTTCTATTCAGTAAGAAAACCTGAAGATTAATGTACATCCTAGTAGTAAATGCATTGAAACGAAGTACCCATCGACACAATTTACCAAGATGGTGAGAACAAGGAGGAGGAAGAGGAAGAGGAAGAGGAGGAGGTGATCTTAGAGCTATTGCTTTCGCTATGAATCCCAACCATCCTTCCGCCCGTCAAATTCCCACCTCCGGCCAGACAGACTACCGTACATATCAGTAAATTTCATAAGGCAGGCGCTTCTTATTTTGTAATGTACTTTTGTGTTTCGGCTGATTGCGGCACCAGAAATTTTCGATGTATCTATTGTCCAAGCGGGTCTCACGTATTCAACGGTTTTAGATGAGCTTGCATTTGCATATAAGAAATTAAGCAGTATATCCTCGCAGTTGAAATACTTGTCAACCACTTCTCTCCCTGGTTTAGCTTGCTTGCTCCAATACCTTTCAAAGGCTACTTGACTATCAATGAAAGCAGCCCCTGTAAGAATCATATTATACCCTTTATTTGTTCTGGCATATTTCTCACCCCAATACTCCAATTGGTTTCCATCAACATACCGAGGGTAGAACCCCACAATCCTATCTGGATGTTGACGCCACACCAAAAATCCCCGCTCAACATCGTCACAAGTCATCATTATATCGTCATCAAGCTCAAGAACTGCACGAGTCTTAATAAATGGATCCATCTTGAATCGGTTATTGAGTGAGTTCTGGTTCTCCACTCTGATCCTAACAGGCACTGCTGAGTCAAGATCAGTCAACTTGGGGGGTATCCCTTTGTTCCAAACCACAACAATTTCTTTTACTGAAGCACACCTTGAGTAATGCTTCACGTACATTTTCAAATTCCAGAGACGAGCGTCGTACGTCATTGTTAATAATGTAAACTGAGAGTAATGACCCTTCCATGAGTAAGGTTCTTCTGCACCATTGCCTCCATATATGAACTTAACTCCTCTGCAAGAAAGTGAAACTCCTATAGCAAATATCAGTGCCAAAACTATTCTTCCAGTATAGGTGTTTGGTTTTATCAAGCCTCTTAGAAATGAAGGTATTCTATTCAAGCGGCTGCAAAACCACCTCACTTTCGAAGAAAATATATTTGCTCTTTCCCAAGCCATAAGAGTATCACTTCTCTTCCCCGAGTAATCAGCACACCAGTTAAGGGGGATAATGCATTTCACTGCTCCTAGTAGGACACCCAATAACACAATGAGGCCAGCAACAGCTGCAACAGAAGCACAGCCAAGAAGAAATCGATGGACTGAGTCTCCTGAAGGTACACGGTCCCCATCCATAACCCCAATCCATTCACCAGAACTTAGCTGCTGGACATCAAGGTGATGGTAGCGAGCACCATTCCAGGCATTCCGATACTTACTGGACTCTTCGAAGAGAAATGAGACTTCAACCTCCTTGTAATCAGCTCGCGTAAGAACTTCAACCTTGAAAATGCGAACCCGTCGCCCATATGTTTCACCGCAATCCTGACCAATCCGATAAAGATTTCCATTATACCTAAATGGCCTGCCCCCATTACGAGCCCCCAAGCTTCTGTCAATATTATAAATAGGATTCTTCTTGTGTGGTTTCCAAGGACCAAGAGGTGAGCTGCTATACCAAATTTCCAGTTGTCCATTCTTTGTTCCAAAACTGCTGTGATCTGATCCAAAAAGCCAATACTCACCATCATGATCAATAATAAAGGAATCAATAAGTGGCTTTTTCAAGATGATCCTATAAAGTTCCCACTGTAAGGGAAAGTTAATTGCTCGATACAGACGAAGTTCTCCTTTCTGACTGCTTTCAGGCATCATGTATATCTGTAGTTAAGAGAAAAAAAAACAAGCAATTCCATCAATAAATGAGATAAGCTGCCATGTAGATTACATAATCATTGCGAATGTGCTGGTACCTAAGAAAATCTTGTCCCATTTCATCAGTATCAGTCATTTAGTTTGGCACACCTATGTGAGGTATAACATATACGTTCATGATCAGCATTCATTTGGCCATGTTATATTAGGTTACACCAGTTATGTTCTGCCTTGCTTACCCATATTATGAAATCATAAGGTGCTTAAAAACTAAGCAATAAATGTGCCTATATATAACCTAAGTGCATATGAGAAAAACGAACAAAAATTGATAGTCTTACTTGGCCAAGATAGTTAAAGACATATGGGTAGGAAAGATGCCAGTCCTCATCCAAGGCTATGCCCAGTTGTTGCCATGTTGCTCCCTTATCAACACTTTTTGCAACCCCAATATCCCCTTGCATGGTGAATGAGTTCTTGGTTTCATAAAATAGGTAAAAGATATCTCCCTGGATCATGAAGCATTTCAAGCAAACATGAGGATACATTTCAAATACAAATAAAAACTAACATATAACAAACTTTAAACCTCGGGATATTTCAAATAAAAATTTATCACTTTGAGAAAGTAGGCAGACCCTATTAACAAAAGCAATCATGCTTGGGATGATGCAAGCAATGCATGTAGTGCTGCACATCTCTGGGGAAAAATCATAAGTGATTAGGATATAATTCAACTGAAGACATTTTCATAAAATAAAGTATTGAAAAGATCCATTCAGGGAAGAGAGAATACAAGAAGATGAAAAGAAAAGCTAGGTGTATTAGCTATACTAGCATGACATAGGATAGTGACACGAGGTAGAAGAGTATGATAAGATACCCTATTTCAGTCATACACTCTTTTACTGATATTTATTGATAAAAATAATTGAATAAATTTGCAATCTAAATAGGAACAATGAGGAAAAAACAAGAAAAAAAGTGTCTCCTTTATTTTTTATTGTGAGGAGCTTGTCTCCCTATGAGATTGAATTTCAAATTCATCAACCTACCTGAGACAGATACACTTTCAGAAAGCTCTTGAAGCTTAGATTGGTGGCATTATTCAGTACAAACATAAATATGCATACAATTATGTAGTATGGGTGGTTTTTTCCTTTTTTAATTCGGGGTTTGGCGAGATTAGGTGGGGTGTTTTGATGCATGTTATGCGTTATGATTTTTTCTATTACTAAATGCATAAACCAAAATGTATCCACAAATAATCAATAGAAACTATTCAAAGAATTATTTTAGTAAAACCATGCTAAGATAACTAAAAATATGAAACAGCAAAACCATGTC